AGCCCTCTGATCATCTTCGTGGCCCTCCTCTGTACTCGCTCCAACAGGTCCAAGTCCTTCTTATGTTGGGGGCCCCAGAGCTGAACGCAGTACTCCAGGTGGGGTCTCATGAGAGCGGAGTAGAGGGGGAGAATCACCTCCCTCGACCTGCTGGCCACGCTTCTTTTGATGCAGCCCAGGGTACAGTTGGCTTTCTGGGCTGCAAGCGCACATTGCCGGGTCTCGTTGAGCTTCTCATCAACCAACACCCCCACGTCTTTCTCCTCAGGGCTGCTCTCAATCCATTCTCCGCCCAGCCTGTGTTTGTGCTTGGGATTGGCCCGACCCATGTGCAGAACCTTGCACTTGGCCTTGTTGAACTTCGTGAGGTTCGCACGGGCCCACCTTTCGCGCCACTGGGCTGTGAACAACAATACTAAGGCACATCCGGTCACCACAGGCAGGCTTTCAGCACAGCTCCATACCCGCAGATTCAAAGGACCTCCATCCCCACCAAGTCACTTGTCTATGTGGCCAGGTTTTCAGAGGAGCTCAGCACCCTGGGGGCTTGCGCAGGTGCCTGCAGGAAGGCAAAGAAACTGCAGAAAAGCTGGCTCTACGAGTGAAGGTCGTGCACTTGGAAATCTGGCCCTACAGGTGGCAAAACGCATCTCACAATAAAAATTGCCCAGGATATCAACACCATTTAAATAAATACTAGTAGTGGTGAAATGATTTTTTAATAACGCTTTGACAATCAAGAAGCCTGACGGAAACAGAAACCGGAAACACCTTATCATCAACTCTTTGCAAAAGCGTGTTTTTCATTCCAGTAAAAGAAACACATCAACTTTCCTTTTTCCATCTTATTAAATATTTCCTAGACAAACTAGCCTGTCTTTGCTTAGTCAAATATTGCTACTTGTCTAAAAAAATTAAAAGAAAAACTTTTCTATGTTCACCGTTCTTGATATCAATATTCATTAGATAACAGAAATCATAGAGAGCATTCACTTCTATCTGAGAAAAATGAGTTCCTGAACACGTTTCCTCTATTTTGATGTACCTACTTAAATCTGAATAAACAGAGATCTAACCCTTATCATTCAGTGTGTTGTTTAAAGACTTCTGAGCTGGAGAATTCCTTCAGCTTTCTTAGCAGATGAAAGAACACGATTTGGAACCACAGCATACATGTCTGATTGCCTGTGTGCTTCTTCAGCCTCTCCAGATTGTTTATACCTCAAATGCTACCACTTACGTCTAGCGATTTCAGAAGACTACTCCTCCTGTTTGAAAGGCATGTATAGGCCAATGCATATATGGGCCAATGGTGTAATAAATTCATAGAAGCAAAATGATACGCAGTCATAAACAGAAATTAAAACCAAGTGTTTTTCTAGAGGATAGGGTTCACAAATGCAGGGTTCACTAACGGTTTTCAAAAATGTTCTGCTGCACATAACAGAGCTGCAGAGCATGCCTGCACAGAGCTGCAGCAGTGGAGGGACTTTGCAGCAGTGGAGGGACTTTAAAAGCTGAATATCCAAGCATCTGCTCATTGTGCTTTGCTCAGACTCTTGACTGCAGCGTCCGGTCCTGAGCCTTCCTCCTCACATTCTGATGGGATGTGGCAATGCAAAATGTATTAGTACTTACCATATGAGCTGTGGGAATTCACCTGTGCCAGAATGGTATGGAAACTACTTATATTTCTGTGCCAGGCATGTCTGGGGAGGAGTCTCGAGAGCCTACAGCCTGCAGGCTCCAGGACAAAACTGATATGCAATTGCTCAGCGATGCGTAATATTGAAGCAATACTAAAAAAAATGACATTACAGTCATTTCTGTACAATATAGGCTAATACAGGATTCGGGGATTGCTCAAATTCAGCAGAACAGTAAATCAAAATTTCAATTAAAAGTGGATTACAAGTACTTAGGTTTATGGTCTGTCCCAAGCCAAAGACTTAAGCAAGCCCGTTTTCCAGACCTTGGCTCTCATTTGTGAAGCCTCTACTTTCTGTTTTGTTTTGTTATTTAAACTTTTCATTTACAGAGCAGTAAGATTTTCATTTTTACAGCATTTTTATTTTCTTTCTGAGGCAGGAACTCGTCTTCACCAAGTAAGTCCCTGCTCTGCTAAACACTTGAGCTAACACAGAAGAAAAGTACAATCCTGCCATATATCTCCGCAGCACGGGAGAAACCTTACGGCGGCGAAACCGTAACACTCTGCTGGAGAGGGCAGCTTGTGCTGGCTGCGTGTCACAGAGCTGTACTCCATGGAGACGCTACAGGACCATCCACAGGAGGTGGGATGAGTGAGGCCATGTGTCCCTGGATCCACTGGCTGTTTTCCCCTAGGGAATGAGGAGAAACAGGAGCTACAGGAAAAAAACCCCTATTGCTCTGTGGTCGGGGTGGGAACCGCACAGCGAGCCCATGGCTCTCTCGCTGGTTGCACGTGCCCACACCCACCCCAGGAGCACGGCCAGCGGGCTCACACAATATTTAGGCTTTAGTCCATATACGGTATTTTGCTTTGGCACAGTCTAGTTGAGCTGTAAAATACATGTCTAATGTGCGTCATGCAGCTTTTAAAAGATCCCTCACGCAGAAATACCTGCAAAATTTTGGTAGGCACTGAAATATTAGCATTTTGACTAGTCCTAAAGCACAGAAGAAGCAGCTTACAGGATACCATCTGATTTGTGTGAAACCACATCTTACACCTGATCACTCTGACATCTGCTTGTCAAAAACCTACACCTTCTACGTTCATGGGATTTGTTTAAACATGAGACAAAGTGTTACCTGGACCAAAATAGTGCTTATCTCCTTTACATTTTTTTACACTGATCACACAGGGCTTGTTGACTCAATTATTTTTTTCTTCATGAGCTAAACTTTGGTTTTCTATAATGTCTTGAAACATTAAAAGAATGCTGTGACTGAAATCAAATAAATCAGAACATCCTAAAATGACTCCTAGAAATACAGTAGCATAGATGACTGATTCAGACACTGTGCGTGGTTTCTGAATATGTAGTCAAGGTGATCGTATCTACGAAAGGCACGATGGAAACAACCACCAGCAACATAAGGGCAAAACTCACAGCTACGACACAGGCATAATAAAAACATACTATACTATTAATTCTGGTAACTGCAGAAGCACATTCACTCTTACTACTGTTATGAGAGAGTTTGCAAAGAATGTAAGGTATTTTTCAATTACCTATATGCACATATACATATATATTAAGAGAACGTGAGTGGAGAACCAAACAGGAATGGGGGCAGGCATATTTACTATTCAATACCTGCTTCCCTTTGCCCTGCTGTGGTGTTATATTTTTTCTTTCAGGTTTGCCTACACTGAAATGAAAAGATTTCACAGGAATTTAAACCAGTACAGCAGACTAAACAAGATTCCCAATGTTTTCAACAATTACCATAATTAAAGATGCCTTTGCAGAATAAAGCCTAGGCTGGTTCTCTGTTGCCTGTTACTAGGTAGCTATTCCCATCACTTCACATCAAATGAAACATCTAATGTTTCAAACTCAAAATGGTGGTAGCATAAACCAACTTTGCAGCAGTAAATACTGTTCCCATGGTTTAGAATAAAATGGTAAAAAATGGCCTATGTAAAGGCCGGAGAGGAAAGATGCTGCTTAATAAACAGCAGTTAACAACAGGCATGTATTTGAAATACGTATGAGGGTAACTTGGGTGGCAAGGCAATACCTGTTGGCCTCTACAACAGATTTCTGTTGCTGAAAAGTGGTGTGCAAGAGAATAACAACTCTTTTTCTTTCCAATTTAAAAGATGAACAGTCTTTAAATATACACAGACATAACCACTGGGGATGAAGTTTGCATAAGTAGGCTGATTCAGTGAAGCATAGCTACGCAGCACATATGCAATAAGCAGTCAGTTGCCCATGTCAGGTTTCCTGTACTTTTATTTTAAATTAAAGTCCTGATAAAAGTCTGGAGTGCACGCAAGCTAACTAGGTGAACTTCCAAACGTGTATTTTATGGGATTTCATCTGCAAAAAGTTGGTCTCTTCAAGTCACGTGACATGACTCGAGTATTGCTTTGTGGGAATTTCCCTCAGAAGGACTATTTTCACTTGGAAAGTCTACAAAAAAGCATGGACCCAATCATTTTTATAATTCCTCTTCCTTCCAAAACAACAACAACAAAATAACCATCCCTTTTTCCTATTTTCCCCAAAAAAGTGTTGTCAGAAAAACAGCCGTTTCAAATTAAAAAAAAAAAAATCTAAATTTACTTGCTATTAAAATCTTCATACAAGCCTGCTTGGAATTCAGCCAGCATGAGTACTTTATTGTCACTTCAGAGCCACCAATATAAGCTTCCAAAATAAACAGGCACACGTGTTTCTGAAAATTTCCTATATATGAAGCATTTTGTATGGAGCACTCTGATCTCCATCCACATCGTGCTTTTCATTGCTACCCAAGAGCGGCATCAGCCCGGAGTGCTATTTTCACCCTGCGCGAGACAGCGAGGTGCAGGATGACTGGAAGAAGAATCCCCCACACCACCTCCAGCTCAGAGCCCAGCACGCTTACAATGCTGTGATGCGAATTCAGAAGTATTATTCAAATGCAATGTACCCTCTGGGACCACAAAGTCAGTCCGAGGGTTGACAGCAACTTAGCAGAGAGCTCAGCGCATTCACAATTTGTGGCTACGCATGTGAGTTTGTGCTGGGGCTCTTTAGCTCCCAAAAGCAGAAAAAGTCATTGTTCCAACAGGTCTTTGCCAACAATACAAAAGAAAATAATCTGCAGAGAAGGTCTCTTGTGTGGGCAGGAGAGAGAAAGGCAGCTCTCATGGTTTGATTCTCACTCTCATTTTATAGCACCAGCTATACCTCCAAATTACTCAGGTTACTAAAGAATTATCAGAGCCATATATCTTTCTAAGTAATCATCATTATCTCTCTTTTTTTCTAGCAGAGATAAGGAATATATTTTGTTACCATTAGCAGGAAGATAGGTGAAAAGCTGGTACTGGCTTCTCTTTCTCTTTCCGTTGCAAACATAGAAGTTGACCTGCACAGGGCTGGTAATTCTCTGATTGCGGAAAGGTGGTATCTCAACCACCAACGAATTCTGCAAAAGCAATAAATCAGAAAGTCAAGGCACGACTAAGGCAGCCGAGCTGTACCTCGAGAAGGAGGTGCCCGGGTCACAAGGAGGAACACACACTCTGCAGGGGAACTGATGGGCTTCGTGGACAGGGATGGCCTCCCACCACCCCCAGTGTCCTCCGTGCCAAGGACTCCAGAAATAGGGAAATAGTATTTTAGCATGGCTCAGGTCTTTAGAAAATCACTAGCCTTCACCTTCTCCCTTTGGACAGCAAATACGATACCGTGTATGGACAAGGCTCTATCCCCTCTGCCTCTAACAAGAATCTGGGACCACAATCGAATCGTGGTCTCTAACTCAGCAGGAGAAAGCACAACAGCTCGGCTGGCAGGTCATCGCCAGTGTATCTCACCCTAACATGACTTCCTTTGAAAGGAGAATTAGGACAGGCATATGATTATTCAAATATTTCCATTTTCCACAGTGAAATGTTTTTTCATATAACAACTCTGGAAGTTTTAGGCTTGCTGGTTTCTGTGGATGGGAGATCTTGCAAGAACATCTAGTGCTAGAGGAAGAACGGCTGGAGAGCGTGTAGATGATCTTCCACTGTCAGAAACCAAATGCTCCAGCACAGGGCTAAGGAACGACTTAGCTGCTAGGGCATCAGCTTACACAAATGCACAGTGAAATCTGCTACGACCATCAAAACCTCCCTTGGCACTTTCTGAAAGAATAAAAGGGAACACTCGTCTTAGCATTTGGCCTGCATTCAGCTGAGGTCTTTAAATTGTTTGCCTGCATGTCTCCAGCAGGTTTGCAGCTAACAAACTGTTGCATATTCCTGCAGGGGTGGAATAGTGGCCATATTTCCCTCTTATAGTCATGGCTGAGGGAGTCACACATCTCCAACCGTGGGGCTGATCTCCTGTGAGGGGACTCACATTTCTTCTGCCGACGGTAGACGAAAGCCAAGGAAAATTATCAGAAATTGCTTTGGGAGCAGAGGGAAGAACTGACCCAGCAAGACAGAAGATGAGCAGACAGGGCTGGCCCATCCCGGACAATGAAAAAATATTTTCCAAATGGTCTCTCCTACTTTTGGGATAGCTTCCAACACAGGCTTTTTACCCCACGCTCCCATTAAAGAAAGATTTCCAGGAGGGGAGGCCTAAGTACTTGTTCTGTTTCAGTGGGGAGACACAGTGCCAAAGCCTTGGAAATCCCTCTTTAGTAACAGTGCTGGAGAAGGCAATATATATTTTTCATCTTGATGTTAAAATATTTAAGGCAGACTTACTGGCTTGCACATTTCTTTGTCGGTTTTGGCTTCCATTTCCCACACATGGTGACCATCTAAAAGACAAAAGAAAGAGATATCTAGTTCCGTCCTTTTTTCTTCTCCCAAGCTTACAAAAGAATGACTTTTGCAAAAAAATCTCTTTGAAGGGGCACTGCATATATGAAAACCAGCTCTCAAAATGCATTGGCCAAGCACTGCCCAACCAGGAGGCCATCTGGGTAACCCGTGACGGGAGTCCACTTAGCTTTTTTGAAGTGGGGAACCACAATCCGGAGCGCATGATACTGCGATGGGGGAAAGCCACCGGGAGTTTATTCTGCCACCAGTTTGGACAAAATATGCAACTGTTCTACACCTTAGTTTCCCAAACTTTCAGACAAAAATTCTGCTACCTATGGGGCCTAGTAAGTCATATTCAACATTAATATTAAACAAAACAAAACAAAAAAGTAGTATTAAGGGAGCTCCTCAGCCATGCAGTATTTCATTTTAATATACTCCTAGTCTGGCTTGTCATAATTCTGCTGCTTGGATCAAACGGCAAGGCCATAGGCTGGGAAACATAGATTTTCACTCCATTTTAGAGTTGGTTTAGCTCAGCTATGGTGATCCCACCCACAGTTTTCTGGAGCTGCTTCTAGTGGTGTGTTGGGTCCCCCTAATCTACTGTATTTCTGTTTTCAAGCAAACATAGATTTAAGCCACAGCTATCACTTTTTCTGGGGACCCATCTTTTGGAAGAAATCGGTTTTGTCTGGTCATTTTTCCTGTGCCTCACTGATACAGAAGTCACTGGTCAATAACAGGGTTTTTTTCTTCCTTGCGGCTTCAAAACTCAACAGCAAAGAAATTAGAAAAAAAATACAGAACGTAAGGTTTCCGTTCTGCAGGCCTAGAAAAACACAAACGTGTACAAAAGGCCACAGGCAGACTGCTGTCTAAGTTGGGCAGCGGGGACACATGCAGCTTCATGAGTCCCACCATTGTCAGATGTCACTGGAATGAAAGGCAAAATGAGACTTTATGTCATCTCTTTTGTATATTTATTGCAGCATCGGGACATGCAAATGCAAATATTAGCTATTTTGAACTTCATCACATAGACGTGGGCCTGCCTTAGAAAAACAGCTCTCAGCAAGGTAAAAGAGTGAATGCACTTTTTCTTCTCTCTTCGCTTTCGTGGCCAGGATGGAGGTGACGCATTTAGAACGGCCTGATTTATTACAAATGTCTGTAAATAATATTTTTGTGTACAGCTGTCCTGCTGTGAAAGGAATGCTGCTGAGGGACTAGCCCTGGCGATTGTTTTAATGTCCAAAACCCCTTTCTTTTTAATGTATGGAAAGAAGTGCAACATGAAAGCTGCAGCACAAATAGCACAGTGGATTTGGCAGGTCTTTCTGTAGGAAACAATTAGCAGATCTACCCTTAGTTTCTTCCTACATTTTAAATTGTGACGCTGGAAAAGGAATCCCTTTAATTGGTACTGCCACGTTCGGCTGCGGGGAGAGAAGGAGCAGCCAGACCGTGCTCGAGTCTGCTTAACGATGCCTTTTGAGAGCGCCAGAATTGAAGCAGACTTCTCGGGAGGACTGGCGATCACTTCACAATTTATCCAACAGATGCTTCCCCCAAGCTGTCAGTAAAAAAAAACTGACCGAAATTCAGCAAGCCAGGAAACATCCCTGGTCTGGGAGCACCCTCCTTTACCTCCCGCCCTCTCCCTATAGAGCCCCTGTAGCTCCCCCTTCCCCCCGCCTCCTCCCGCCCCAATTAATTCAATCAGTTGTAAAAGTAACACGACACCGACACTATCACACATTTTGCAAAGTCTAGGAACTTCTGCTTTGTAAGGGGTTTGATGGTGTTTTTTTTAAATCTACAGACGTCCAGACTAGTAGTTAACATGTGTTCAATTTGCCTTTGTAAACGGATTACCAGAAGTTCAGGTTTTTTGCTATGTTTAATTTCTGCTTTGCAAGACGAATGATCTGATTCAGGTTTCTGTTTTCTATTTCCTGCCGATACTTCAGTAAAATTCAAAATGACTCCATCTCTAGCTAATCTTTCAATTACTTCACGCAGCACTGCCTTCATGCGCTTTTGAAATTTTTATGATGACAAAGAGAGTTTGTTCAGAAATATTTTAAATGCTGTAATCTAAACTATTAGGAAAATAAAAATCCAGAGCCGTGGCTCGTCTTTGGAAGCTAATAAGAACAATACGGGTTTCGCTCCAAGAAATTCCCTTGAGACTGTCCAGACCGTCGCAGCTCAGCAACTGAGGGGAAGGGGAAGAGAGGGAAGAAGTAGGGAATAGACAACTCATTAACAGCTAGTGACATTTCATTTAACAAAAACACAGGGAGGAAAAGTTGTTATGAAGCAGAGACCAAAAAAAAAAAAAAAAAGACAATTCCTCATATTACGTCTGGTGAACCAAGAGGGAAATCTCAACGCCCACGGACTGGGACCAGCTCCAGGAGGGAAACCTTAGACCACTACGTCAACCTCTTACAGTAAACATGTTTTGCAGGTTTATACAGTTCAGCTGAAATTTAAAAAAAAAAAAAAAAAAAAGAAGAAGGAGAAAGGAATAATGGCTCCGGAATGGTTTGTGGGAGCCTGAAGCATCATGACAATCTCCCTGCACCGGAGAAAACGGTTTTGCCCCCAGTGCCCATACGCCGGGGACCCTGGGAGCAGGCGGGATGCCGCCTCCCGTCAGCGTGTGCTGGAGGAGCCAGGGCTGCTCGACCACAAAAGTTTCCATTGTACGCCTGCCACATCTGCAGCAGCCCGCCTGGTTCGGGGCCCGAGGCAACTCCCTCCTGGCCGCCGGCCAACCAAAGTACACCAGAGCAATTTATACCTTTCCAAAATGCAAATAATTCAAATTACAGACATAACACAAAGCTGAAGCAGACACATTTCAGGCATTCCCGTTAAAGTTTACTCTCTGGAATTACCGTACCCAAATGGGCAGTTGTTATACGGGGAGGGGGGGAGACGGAGGCAGGAGAGGAAGGAGCGGAGGAGGCAGGGAGGAAAAGGGAGAAGGGAGAAAACGGCTTTTCCAAAGGTCTCATTTCATTCTCTTTCATTTCGCTATTTACTTTTACCGAGTAATAAGACGCGTCTTCTCCAAACCAAATGCCTGACTTTGTTTTGGCGTTTTTAAGATTTATAGTGCAATATTTTGAACAGAAAGACATCTTTTTATATAGCTAAAAAGTTGCGTCAAGATATTATACTGGATTTGTTTTATTTTGTGGGTTTTTTCACAAAAGGGAAATAAAACCAAAACATCCGTGCATAGAACCACAGGGCAAAAGCCCTGCAGAGTCCCCGGTGGAGTGCCCCGCTCCCCCGGCGCCAGCAGCAGCAGCAGTTGACCCGACAAAGCCCAGGCTTCACCTGGGGACCCGTGCCAAGGGCTGGAAGAAGGACCTTCGAATCCCTCCTCCTCCAAAAAGACAGCGCAGGCATTGGCAGTGCCAGGGGAGCGAGAACCCCACCGTTTCGCACGGGCTCTCCGACTGCGCCCGGGCTCGGCGCTGCACTGACAGGTGGCCATCAGCGCTGCCGCCAGCTGAAGACACCGGGTTTTGTCAGGAAGCCTGACATTTACAGGCTGATCGCTGTTATTTATAGCCATCCCTGCTCCGGGTGCACTTCACCACCAGCCTCTTCAGCCTTTTTTTTTTTCGGTGCTGCGACACACGGGGCACCTGGGATTGCTAATGACGAAAATACCGTGAACCTACCACGTTACGTGGGGTGGATTTTCAGCTTTGCAAAACATAAATACACTGTTTGAACGTGCGGCAGCTGAACAGTGAATGGGCCTTTGTAGTCTGCTCTTATCAGCCACTCGCTCCGGCGTTAAAGGAAACTGCGCACAAGTCCAGAAGTAAAAATACTCTAATTCATCAGGGAATTCCCTGCAGTATGAGTCACTGAACGGCTTCCCCACCACACCCAGCTACAAGATTTCCACATAAAAAGGCACTGTAGAGGCCTGTTTTAACACAGAAGCAGCGCTAAAAAGTACTTGTGTAAATCTAGCAGCATCAGTTATTCACACATAAAGCCTAGCAGACCACAACATGTGGATTTTTTTCATGGAAGAGCAACAGAAAGAGCTGTAAAGACTTTCCAAAGAAATTTTTCTACCACCTTCCCCTCCTCGCTGCCCATCAGGACAGATCCCCCGGGGTTTCCAGGGCTGCGTTTACCTTCGTACCCCAGGGAACTGCAAGCGTAGTGCCAGGGGTTCACAAGCTCACAACAGTCAAACCACCAGTGTAACTTTCATTACAGACCGATGGATAGCAGAAAGGGGAAAGAATACACAGTACCAAAAAACCACGAAGCCTGGAAACTCAGGAGGGTATAACATCTGGCAACCACTTAAACCTTGCCTCTATGAAATGGGCATAATGGGAGCGTTCAGATATATTTAAGTGATTTCACTTTACTACAGGAGGTTAAAACAGTCTATATTCTTTAGTAGTCCTACGTTCACTTGAGATATGAGAATAGAAGACATTATCTAGGGTTTCACTGCCTGTGCAAAGTGTACATTTTATACCCTTCCAGCCTGAGGCTCAACAGAGTTTGACTGCGCTGGCTGGACTGTAAATCTGTATTTACATTCATATATTGCAAGTAAGACAGTGAAACTAGCTCCACCCTCCCAAAGGAACCCACTACTTGATTAATGTGTTGTGAGATTACCCTAAACAATAATGCCTATATTACATCCCAGATTACTTTAACATGTCCACAACAGGCAGGGCACAGATGCAATGCAGAATGATTATACAGCGTAATTTTGAGGTGCTCTGCAAAGGTTGTCTACCTTCCTATTTGGCCCTGTTAATGCATATTCAAATCCCTTAGGAGTGAAGGATTTGCAAGTTTTCAGTTTGCACCCCAGCCCCTTTTCCCTGGCAAGTACGCTCACAGCGCTGAGATGACTGATCTGTGAACAGCTCTGGAAGGAAAGGATGGGTTTCCAGCCAGAGAAGAGGATGAAGACTTAGGCAAA